ACTTGTAAATTCCTGGGGGGGGGCTTTGAAGAATTCTTATATTGATCGAGAATTTCCTCAAGTCGTGCGGGCAGCGTAAGATGTATCTTTTTTCTCTTCTTTCCTTGAACACCAGCGTCTTTGGGTCCCTTATCATGCCGTACTCCACTCGTCTTGCTGTCGATGATCCTTCCTCGTCTTCCCCCTCTTCCGTCTGTGTTTGAGCTTGTGCATGGGGACTGTTTGGTACCGTTACTGTAGTTAGGTTTTGGGCTGTTGCTGTTTGCGTTTGGTTTGTGTGTGGTATTGGATTGTTGTGGTTGTCTACATTGTGGGTTGCCTGTTGTTGCTGGAAGTGTGTTTGAATTAAGGGTATGGTTTCTTGGAACAAGGGTAGTTGCATGCTCAGCCCTATAGGAGCAGTAGGAGTTGGTCGTGGTTGTCTGCTCCAAGGTGATGGGTGAATCCCCAAGGTGAGGTGGATTGGGGGAGGCATTTGGTTGTTGAATATGGCCAGCCATGGATATTTTGCAACGTTGTCCAGCCCTATCCTCAACCCCTCCGTCACTATTTGAGCAAGGTAGCTCGGATTTTCCAGCTGAATCGTGATGTCTCGCCCTTCCAACTGGAGGTTCAAATTGAGGGAGAAGCCTGTCAGCCCGCCATCCATGACTGTGGAGCATGATTCATTGGTAATGGTGGTGTTGTGTAGATTATTGGCTCTGGTGGGTTCATGGGTGGGTAAGGTGCATGGTGTGGTATTCTTGGTTGTTGTCTCATCCAAACATTTCTCTTGTTTCTGTTGTGCCTGTGTTGGTAGTTGGTGTGGTGAAATCTGGCCATGGTGTTGTTCGTTGAGCTTTGGCAGTAAGGGAGTTGTATTTTTGGATGGTGAGAGCTTGTTGGAGTTGGAAGATAAAGAAATTGATTTGTTGAACATTGGTGTAATGTACAAGGTTGATGGGACTTGATTATCAACTTTTTGGTTTGATTTTTATTTTGAGAGGATTTCTTCAATGGTTTTTGTTGGAGTGATTTGTGACAGAAAGTCGTTTGAGGTTGGGTCTTTTTTTGTGGATGTAGGAGACCTAGTTGTAGGATGATTGTAATCAACATTAAATGTTGATGGGGCTTTGTCTAAAATGGGATTATGGTCTATGTCCATCGGATTGTACCTGTTTGTTAAGCTTAGGACTTTGTCTTCAGCATGTTCTTTTGTTTCTTGGTTCTTTAGTTGTTGTCCGCTAGTTTTAGAGGTAGAGTCTGCCTTCTTTTTTGTTGCAGAGTATGTGGGTTCTAGGGTAGTGAATTGGGGCATTAATTGTGATGTGGAGGGGTTTGACAAATGAGGGGTATGGGGGTTGTCCAATGTACTTTTGTACAAAGGGGCTTTAGGGTTGGTGCAACACCTAGGTTTTCCTAGGTTTTTTTGATCATTTTCGATGGGTAGGTTCCTAGGGTTTACTAGTGTTTTAACAATGTGTACTAGGTTATGTTTTTGGTTGGGGGAAAGGTATTGACCGCAGGGTTAAGCACGTTGTTGTCCTTGGGCAAAGGAGCCTGTTGTGAACGTTGGAAGTTTTCCAGATTTGGTTCCTCATTTCTGGTTCTTGCGGTTCCAGTTGGCCCGGTTTTGTTTGAGGCAGTGGTATCATTTAGGTTAGAACTAGTCCAGGTTTGAGTTTTTTTTGGTTATCTTTGGTGTGTCACAATTGTCTAGTGGTCTATTTCTTTGGTTAGGGTTTCAACCTCCATGGTCCTACCATTGTTAGTATCATTGCTTGGTTTTGAGGTAGATGTTGCATTGGGGCAGTTATTTGAATTGTGCCCTAGCCGTCCACAAGACTCGCATAACAGGTTAAAACCTTTGTAGGCTATTTTTTGGTAGTGATTTCCTATGATGGTATGTGTTTTAAGGGGTTTCTAAATAGGTGTTAGTATACATAATCTTGCATATTTACCTCTAGTGGTTGAGGTGGTGCACGCGTCGATCCTAAGAAGTTTTCCTAGTTTGTTTCCTATTTTGTGAAGAATCTCATAGTTGTAGAACTCCGTTGGAAGCTCTGGTAATCTGGCCCAGACTGCTGAGAAGGTTAGTGATGCTGTTGAGGCGATGAATCTGGGCTCCTATTTCCTTACAATGACGAATTGGTTTCCGATGAACCAAGGTCCCCCGTGTAGTGCTTTATCATAGTTTTCCGGTCTAGTGAATTTTATGAGATAATAATCATAGCCAAGGTCTATCACTGATAAGTGCTCGGTGGGTCTCCATATAGCATGTATTTTTTGTTGTAGAAATTGGTAAGTTACTCGTCTTCCGAATATTTTGATGATTAGAGCATTTTCCCAGTTTTTGTATATTCGTTCCTTATCCTCCGAAGTTATAGGTATGAAATAGCTCGAGTCAAAGATGTTTTCAGTTTCGTCTGAAGTATCAAAGCCAATGATAGATTTTTGCACTGTTATTTGGTTTTTGGTTTGAAGATTGTCTTGGTTTGCTTGCAACTTGGATAAGAAGGTATTTTTAAGGTTTTGATTGCCATTGCTATGTTCAGGATGAGTTTGGTGACCCTCCATTGTTTGGGAGCTCAAGAGCTGTTGTGAGCTTTGTGTAGTTGTTTTGTTGTCTTCAACATGTTCCATATCCGTGTCTTTATCGGTAGGAGTTCGTGTCGTTTTTTTATTGTGTTGTTGTACTTGGTTTAAAACTTCCTGCATGTGTTTGTTTTGATGTTCTTGTTGATGGAGTGTTATTGTGGTTGGTGAATGGAAGAAGCTAGGGTTCTTCTAAGTTCTCTAGAGAGAAGTCAGTCATCTCTTGTTGGTGAAGATGTTGAATGAAGTCGTATTTTTTTGGACTTCAAAAGTGCTCTACCTTCAAAACTTTAATCGAATTAATTACATCAACTATATATTATGTCTCAATCTCAAATAAGTTGAAGACGACTATATAAATCATGCCGTTCAATTTAACCTCATTCTGTGTTATAATATCTCATAATAAATTTGACTAGTTTTACGTTGATGTCAGCCTACTACAATTCTCCTTTATCTAGGCTTGGTACTGACAATAAGAGTAAGATTATATAGGCAGACTAAACAATTCTGTCTGAAATAAATAAAAATATAAATAAATTAACCCAATTCTCACCTTATCTCAGGCCTAAGACTACAAAAAATTAAGAGCCCTCAAACTTTCTTCTTGGCCTTAGAAAGACCGATGGAACAAATGTAATAGAAAATTTTGTGGTATAAAAATTAATCATCAACTCATGAGACTTTAAATCATGAGAAAATAGTAAAACACAACGAACCTTTAGATCCATTAACATGCAAAATAACATATAAAAGCAAGTCATCCTCGGACGTTGATCTTAAGCAATTCTAGAAGATATGATCTTTTATCATCTAGAAGAAGGGACAACTCGATGCAGTAAGCTCTTGCCATGTGCGGTGTCGCAGTAAAGTCGGACCATATCGGTCTATTGCTGAGATTTGTAAAAATTAGAGTAAGGAAAGTATCAATATAATTTCTGAAAGAGTCACAAATTTTAAAAAGAATTATTAAATACATCTATAGTCTTGAGATTTGTAAAAAATTACATAAGATTATGTTATTACATAAAAATGATGTCAACCATAGTAAAACATCTAAATTATCTGTTTTTCTTTTCCAAAACAAGATACTAAAATAACTGCTGTTAATTAACCATTAATAAAAATAACTAGTCTTATACCCTACCAGTTACTTTGACTGGGGATAGAGTTCTTCTTTTCCTTAATAACCATTAATAGTGTTGTTTAGTTTGGTTAAATTTTTATTTTAAATTTTCCACAGTTTATATTTTTGCATTGGACTATCAAAATTACGGATAATAAAAGAGCATAGTTGGAAGTGATAACTATACGTGATATATACTGATTTTTCCCCAAAGTTAACCACTTTCTTATTAAAGCATATGTTGTCCAATTATCGGTCTCTATTAATAGGAGGAAAAAGGAAAGTCTCTATAAATTCATGAATATCACAACGATTTTTGTTTTAAAAAATATGATGGTTTTATTTATGTATATATAAATCTTGTAAATATATTCATATTTCAATCATTTACAACAGAGCTTCAATCACAAACTTGCAGAGATCCATTATACAATATGATTTCTCTATATTTATTTCAAGTCTATTGGAACTCCCGTTTTGATATTAGTTATATGCATAGTTCAAGGTAAAGTTGGAATCATCCAAAATTTGTGCTCCGTAAAATTACATAATCATACCCTTCAGGGTGACCGAGTTAGTTGAGCAGGGAACTTCCCTAATTAAATGGAAGGTCTAGGGTTCCAAATCCATTTGCATACGTCCTTGATCGAGCCCATGGCACAAGGCTGCCGTAGTGCGATTTATACACTTATGTGTAGTTTGCGGCGATTACACAGGAGCGAATATAATGTGCTACTGATGAGTTCAATTCGACCAATATCTTTCGACACAGAGTAAAAATTATATGTAAAAATTTATTAAAATTACAAAAATAGTAGATATGAACTCATAGCTTTAGAATTATAAGGGTTTAATGCTAATAACCTTAAAAGTTGAACCCATAACTTTTAAATCCTGAATTCGCCTTTGAGGAACGAGGTTTTTCCTGTGTGCAGCCGAAAGATAGCAGCGGTGAATTACCTTATTAACAGATAAAAATGACATAATTATTTTGACATACAAAGTCTTAAGCTAGATCACAAAGACTTCTCACAAACAAAGCCTATGTATTATATAAAATACAAGTTTAGCTAAACTTAATAACTTTAGCTATTGATATTGTGAATTCATAAAGCTTAAATCTTGGATTTATGCTCACAAATGGGGACTAATTAAGGTAGCTGGACAAAAGAAACAGGGACCTAAAGTAGGATAAAAATATTCATATTTCTTAATAAATAAAAAAATGAAGTTAAAAAAAAAAGAAGAAGAAATGACCGAACACATAAATAAATAAACTAACACTTGGTGTTTTTAAATTAAAGTGAAAATCTCCACTAAATTGAAACGCTAACAGAGTTATACGCTCCTGTTTTTTTTTTCCTCTTCCCCTTTCTTCTTCACTGAAACACAAAACAAACACCTTGTGAACAATTTCACAAATCCGATAAAAATTCAGACCCATTTCATCGTATGTCGTCTATATACTCCATTAGCTGATTATTATGTAAAAGTAACAGTTTACCACTGAAACAGATGCAAAACCCATAAAAAATTAGAAGTAAAAATGACAGAAGTAGACAATTTATTGACAAAAAAGGTAGCAGATCGTTACCTAAAACGTGAAGTTTTAGGTGAAGGTACTTATGGTGTTGTCTTCAAGGCCATTGATACTAAGGTACTTCTTGTTATAACGCTTGTGGGGTTTTCTCCGTTTTTCAATTTTGCAGTATTTGGTTTTGAAGATTTTCTAGGGTTTTGTTTAATTCATGTTTTGATTGTTAATTCTATGAATTGTTGATGTGTTTTCCTTGAAATTTAACATTCTTTAATGTTGACTGATCGAAAGCTCTGTAGGTTTTTGAATTAAATAGAAAAAGCTGTTAGTGCTAGCTCGTGGGTGTGATTGTGCTTTTATTTCTGTTTTTGGTTTCAACTTTCAATAATTCTAGAATTTGTGCCATTGGGAACCTGCTATCTCCCACCAGTATAGATATGGGCAACTCTGTCCACCAAAGTTAGGCAGATGGAAGAAGTTACCTAAACTTCTATTGTTTTTTTTTTTTTGTCTCTGACTGTGATTTGAACCTGGATTCCAAGGTTTGCACCTACTTCATTGAGCACTAGGCGACACCCTTGGGTGCGGAAGGAATTCTATAATATAAAGCCATGTTTGTTGTTTCTATCTCCAATCTTCACACATAGCTAGTCCCGAGTGTGGAAATGAGTCCCAAATCCTGTCCCATGAAGGAGGATGGTTGTTGTAGGTTGACGTTCAGCATAAATTACTCAATCTATTAAACCTCAACTAGTTTGGGATTAATCATAGCTTATTGACGGTTCTTTTCCCACTTGTGGGACTATACTGGGTCGTTGTTGTTGTTGTTGTTGTTGTTGTTATTGACTGTTCTTTTGTTGATGTCTATGAATTCTGGAATATTTTTTCATTTAAATTTTATCGTGCAAAGTTGAATGTAAAATTGAGCACCCCAAAAAATAAAAGCTGTTAGTGCTAGTCTTAGATGGATACTGGTGGTTTTGGAGCTCACTTTGTACCTAATCGCGACAAGGCATACCCTCTAAGCTGTATTGATTAGTGTGAGATTTTGAGAACCTCTAGTTTAAGAGAGTGGTCAATTTGCCTTAATAGACAAATTAATTAGAAGTATTGGGATGAAATGGGCTTGAGTAAGGCGGAATGGATATAAAGGACTCAATATAGTTGACCCCAGATGATTTTGGATTGAGGCTTAGTTAATTAGTTGATTAAACATTTGGTTTCATTTTGTCTCTTGAAATAATGATTTATCTGATGTATGCTTTAATTTCATTTTCTGCAGAGTGGCCAGACTGTTGCTATCAAGAAAATTCGTCTTGGGAAACAGAAAGAAGGGGTGAATTTTACTGCCCTTAGGGAAATAAAATTATTGAAAGAGCTGAAGGATCCTCACGTTATTGAATTGATTGATGCCTTCCCTCACAAAGGAAACTTGCATCTTGTGTTTGAGTTCATGGAGACAGATCTTGAGGCTGTGATTCGTGATAGGAATATCTTCCTCTCACCTGCGGATATAAAATCTTATATCCAGATGACATTGAAAGGACTTGCTTTTTGTCACAAGAAATATGTCTTGCATAGGTATGCGCTTGTATATTCTCGCTTTCACTAGATTCCAACTTGTGTTCAGCTTACTTAAATTTTTGCTGTTTCTTCCTGACAGAGATATGAAACCAAACAATTTATTGATTGGACCTAATGGGCAGCTTAAACTTGCTGACTTTGGATTAGCACGTCTATTTGGTAGCCCTGATAGAAGATTCACTCACCAGGTATAACTCTTGGAGCATGTATCCTGTCAGAAGTTAACTTTTAACTTGCTACTTCACTGCAGTTTTTTTTATTTGTCTTCATATTATGGTTCTCCTTGTGGAAATTCATGACATGACTTCATCAAACCTAAAAATAACCTGGAATGATCCCACTGACTAAAATTGCCTTTGATATTTTCCTTATCGAATTGGAGTTATCAGTTTCTCCCACTTGTCTAAACAAATATGGAGGTATCTGTTTTGAGAATTGGACTTTCTTTGGAGGATTTCTTATTTACCAAAGTTTTTATGTTCTTTTACCAAAGTGCGTAATGGAAAAAATGAGATGTGATCCGATACTGCACCTTTCTATATCTAAGATGATCAAACTTGACATGGTTACTCCTATCTTTTTATACAGTTAGTGTTGAACAGTACATGATTTCTTTACTGTTCAACGAAATTTGTATGTACTTTATTTAGTCTATACATTTCATTCCACAGTAATAAAGAATGTTTGTGCAAATTACTGATGGTATGACCTTGTTTTCGGAGAATTAAGAATTGTCCTATTGTGGTATGCATATGACAAATTTTGAGCAGCAGTACAAAATTTGACCAAGATGTTGTCAAGTTAGCGCATATGTAGCAGTAGAATCCTGACTCATTTGCCCCCCTGTCTCTACTTCTGTTACTGTTACTGTAAAGAGCACTTACATTTTAATCTGGTGGGTACTGTTAGGTCTTTGCCCGGTGGTACAGAGCACCAGAGTTATTGTTTGGTGCAAAGCAGTATGGACCTGGAGTAGATGTTTGGGCCGCTGCATGTATCTTTGCTGAGCTCCTCCTGCGTCGACCATTTCTGCAGGTGAATGTCTATAGTCATGGCAATCCCTCTCACAAATTATCCTTGTCCTTTTATATGAAATTGGTCGATGCAATCATGAGTTTCCATGACTCAAGCTACCTGGTTTATTTGATGTTTTGTATAGTACTATGTAGGAAATGCTCTTCTCAGGAAGAGTTTCTCATGTTAACTCCTGAACGTGGGCTGTCTTGTTTTCTCAATAATATAACCTTTGTTAATAACTTTCTCCATTTCAGAGAGAAACACTATTTCTATATGCATCTTTTACTGTTAGACGTGTATATATTTTCTTCTTCATCTTCAATAAGCTGTAAACCAATTGTCCCTTGTAGTTTTCTAGAGAGCTTCACATGCAGTTGGATGGTTGACAATGAAGCCATAGTTAAAAAGCAAATTACTTGCAGGAACTAGACTGAGCTTTTTTTCCTTGTTCCTATGGTGATCCCTTTTGTGCGATAAGTATTTTCCAATTTCCCAATAATTGTTTGAACTTTTTTTTGATGAAGTAAATTAGATTCGTTAAAGGGCATCAAGAAGATGCAACGAGTACAAAACAGATCGGAGATTAGCTCCAGTACAAAAGCCTATGTTACTACATCAGGGTCCATAGGAGTGGCAAACGGGTGGGTCGGGTCGGATATGATTCGGGTCGAAAACGGGTAATGGGAAATCGGACAAATTATCCGACCTAACCCATATTTAATATGGATAAAAAACGGGTTAACCAGGGATTATATGGGTAACCATATTATCCATGACTTCTTAAATATGATAACTTTTGGGAGAACCTAGTCTCCCAAACTTGAGTAACCCCTAATTTGAGGCTACCTTTACTATTCCTATCTGCCTGTTGTTACTTCAACCAATAATTTGTTATGTAATCTGCGCCTATATTAGGGAAACAGTGATATTACAGATGCTACCTTAAATAAGTTAACTTCTATCATCCTAACAATGATCTACAAGGAGGCCATACCCTCATCGACGAAAAAGAAGATCAAGATTAGAAGTCCCTTAAAACCATTAGAGCAAAAAAATCCAATACTAACTGAAGACTAGGTAAGCACTAGGGCCACTGATAACTGAGGAAGAACTAACAATGAACTAGTTCATAGAGAACAAATACCCTCCCCTCATTGATAAGAATGATCTAGAGGTCAAAAGAGTGTTGTTTAGGAAAGGAATGTAAAAATCAGCTTATTTATGTAATTCATTTTTTTAATAACCGTGATGTCCGAGCTAGCTTGACGCACCTACCACCTCCCCCAGGTACAAGGTAACTTTATCCGGACAAATGAGAAGATATCACCTAGTGTTTTTGCCTCTGTTGGGATTTGAACTTGAGACGTCATGGTACTCACCCACTTCATTGACCACTAGGACACACCCTTGGGTGTGCTTATTTATGTAATTCTAGTCACAATGTACTTAGATGGACTCATGTAAGTATTGAAAACACTATTATATACAAAGAAACCTTAAATTTCGTAAGGCCACCAAGCAATTACAAGTGGAAGGGGAGAAACTTACAGAGCCCCTTGCAAGAAAACATGGCCGTACCGACGTTCATACTGCGGGACTTGCAGGCAATGGGTTTGGCAATGAATGATCCAGTTGAACTCTGTCCAACTGCAACTGCTTTATCACTTTTCACTTCCAACTCAAATGTGCATGTACACACATGATTAGTAGCTTTCGAAGCATACAAGATAACCAACGAAAACCTTGAACACAAATTCCTCTTGCCTTGATAAACTAGATGGCCAACAACGTAGTTATCATCAAGAACATCTTTGTGAACAACATTGGAGATATCAACCTCCCAGCTCCCTTCAATGGGTGGATCATCCTCAGAATGCTNTATTATAATTCTAATTAAAAGAACCATATACATACATATATATATATATATATATATATATATATATAAGAAAATTCATACCCTAAGAATGTTATTATTTTTGTAGTTTTCTTTTATTAAGATTAGGCCTTAAAGAGATATTTATATTAAAATAGTATAGAATTTGGGTTGGTCAAAAATTGGTTGTTCTTCTTTATCTTGTTTAGTCTGCGGACTTGCAGTTGATGTGGGTGCTGAACTTTCCCTTTTCATTAGGTACTTCTCATCAGGACCTCTACCTACGGAACCAGCTCTGCTTCCAAGACCTCCCCCTAAGCGGGAATCCGCAAACCCTAGGGTTTCAGATTTCAATCCACATGATGGTCCTGTAGTATTGTCTCCACCAAGAAAGTCAAGGAGAGTGATGCCACAGCGCGAAGGATTTGAGGCAAATATGCGTCCAGAGAAGATGGATGACCATGGAAATGCCGGTGAGAGGAGTGAACAGGTACCCATGTCACTGGATTTCTCAGTCTTTGGGATGAGACCACCTACTAGACCGACCATTAACAGGTATAGCTGATATGCTTTGCAATATCTTTTACTAACCATTTAGGCTACTTGCATTGTTGTTGATCTCATTTTGGTAATATACTGTTGGTGTCATCCTGTTGGTCTAAAATGGGGTTTTTTATGGGGTGGGAGGAGTAGAGCACTGACTTGGTTATGCACCAAAGATGATCATCCATTGCCTATGAACTCACACACTGGTGGGGCTCAAGTAATAAAGCTTTATAGATTCTCAACGTATTATTATACAATTTCTTTAGCCTGTGTCTTATTGTAAGATCATCTGACTAGGGACTAGCACTTTCTTCCACTGATTATCATAGAAATCATGAAGGGAAATAAGTCTGGGATTGTATTTCGTTATTAATGCATGATTAAGAGTTTGAATGTTTTCATTTTAATATGTTGGTTTCTTCTGTTCTTTAGTGCGCCACAAATTGTTTATTCAATAGAAAAATAGGGTAACAGAAGCAGATATTGTTTTGGCATTGTATCTGGACTTCTTGATATGTTAAACTTACGAACGATCATATCATATGCACGTCTTGGCTTTTTTGGCTGCATTATCTATACATTGCATGGTTTTGTGTTCACAATAAGTGGGACCTGTGTATTCAAAACCACATATGCAGGCGAGAACAGGAAAAATATAGGGAGGGGTGTTCAGCTAGTGGTCAGGTTACTGTAATCCCCAAGGAGATAAACTTATTGCAAAAAATGGAGAACGAACTAAAACAGATGTTACTTTGGTGGATTGTTTTCTAAGGAATATCCCAACAATACTGTAATTCCTGAGAAAATATATTGAGTGTGCTAACTGCTACTAGTAAATAGTAATATCTGAAAAAAGAAATAGTAATATCTGTGGTAGTCATGATAATGTCTTGTAAACATTACTAAGATGATTGCTCTTAAGATTCTATGCTAGGCAATGACTTTATGAATGCTAATACTGACACGACCAAATATATCAAGATTTTGGATGTGGCAAGTTATCATTTAGTCAATATTCACTGTATGGACCTGTAACTACTTTGATGTGGTATCATTATAAATCTCTTGAACTTGTTTTCACCTGCAGCGCTGACAGATCACATTTAAAGAGGAAATTAGATCTTGAATTCCAACCCGAAGAGGAATAACATATCTGTCTTGAGTTTTTCGTTAATCTGGATGAGGGTTGCTATATTGCTAAAAAGGTGCGTAATAATTTATCACCTGAGTATTACATTCTCTTGGTATCTTTCGTTCTTATATCCAGATTGATCTCAGGTTTGGGTGCTTACCCGTTTATCAGGTCATGTGCACTACTTCCATAATTTTGCCATTTTGGGGAACAAAGGAGAAGAATCCTTATCAACATCGGGTACACTATTGCATCAAATGCCCCATCTTTTTTTGGGTTTGGGTGAAAGTCGCCATTCACCAATATAACGAATGATCTTGCAGAGTATATTGAAACAGGTTAATAATGTTTGCCTAATTCATTCTTTATCGTCGAGAGGATGTAATTGTTATGCCGGTATACCAATTCTAGCATTTCTTCTAAACTCAAATTTAAGATGTTGTTTGTAGAATGGCATAATTGATATCTGTCTGTTCGATAATATATCTAACTTGACAAATGTGAGTTTGTGACTCAACGTATTGCTTTTTTGGAGTTGCTGGGTTTTAACTTAGTGAATGTTTTGTCTGTTCATACAAAATCATGATATTCTCATCTCTGCCATAGCTGCATAACATTGCACGTTGGTCACATTTTGGTAGATGTTGATGATACATGAAGTGGCAAATGTATTACGTTTAGCCACTGTTGTAACTATTCCCTTTTATTCCAAATATTAGTCATATTGATATGTTAAATTGATTGATTCAAAATATTTGACGTATCACAAAACAATTTTTAATTTTTTTTTCCAATTCTATCTTTACTGTTCTAATAAATGGAATGGTAATGAAGTGAGACGTTTGAGAGAGATATGAAGGGTGATTTAGACAAACTTATGATTAAGGTTATTAGATGTCTTTCTTAAGAGAGTAAAGAATGTAGGGTGCATATAAATTTAAAATACAGATCATATGAACCGAAAGAGTGGTCTTAATAGTTTGTTTTGTTTGTCCTATTTTGTGTTTCAGTTCGTTTCGCGCACTAATCTCTCCCTTCAATGGCTTATCAATCTCAATAACTTCAAAATTGATATGCAATAATATTACTTTTGCATTATCTTGCTTTGATATGTATCTAAGGGTGGCATGTGGGCCGGTCCAGGCCCGGGAGCGGCCCGGGACCGCGGACCATGTGGGCTTCTGGGCCTAAACGGTCCTTAATCGGTTAGAACCGGAACCGTGGAGGTGGGCCAGTCCTTCACGAAAAGACCGCAAGACCGGGATTTGAGACAGACAGTACTGGTCTTTAACGGTCTCAAACGGTCAGATTTAAAAAAAAAAATTATTGCCCGTTTGGGCATTTAAAAACTAGCCGTTTGGCCTGTCTATTTTGCAAATAGCTATTTACCCCCCCCCCCAAACTTTGTTTTAACCCCAAATTTTTTATAATTACACTCTTTTTTTTTTCTATTTTCAACTATCAATACCCCCTCATTCTTTCATTTTTCTCATAAAATCATCAATCTCTCTCATTCTCTCACTAATTTTCTTCTATAATTGCTACTATTGCTTACTTTATTGTTACAATTTGTGAAAAATTGTGAAGTTGGTGAATTGAAGTCTTCAACGATAATCAATTTTTAACAAGTTGTTCGTCACTTCGGTAAACTCGTTCCAACTCTTAATTTTTAATATTATAGTTTTGTTTGTTTTATTTATTTTCTATTATTTGATTAATTAAGACGACTTCCTTACAAAAAAACTTTTTGATAAAAATAAGGGTAAATCCAAGATTGGCGAATCTAGTGGCCAATCTGTTCCTCCTCCACTTCCCCCGGTTCTCCGACCCGAACCCATACCCGTCCTACACCTGCTATTCTTGATAGTGATAATAGTTTATTACAATTTACTGAGAGTCAATTTTGTCATAATGTTGGAGCTGATGAACAATTAGACCATGAATTAATGAATGCTCTTTATTCTAATCCAACTAACTATTGATGAAAATGATGAGGAAACAGATTTTGATGAAATGCAACCCGATGACGATACACCTACTAGTCCTGCTCCTGAAGTTAACCCAACTAATGATAATCCAAATGATGCCCCGTCTGACCCTCCTGTTACTACCCTACTTTTTCTAGACAATGTACCAAACGGACAGAAACATGTATTGTTTGGCCATTTTTTACTCAACTAATTCCACAAAATAAGGCTAAGTGTAAGTTGTGGCAATGACTTAACTTCTAAATATTTTGGAGGTTTGCGACGGGGGAGGGGGGGGGGGGGTAGGGGCGGGGGAGGGGAGGGGACGAGAACTTTGGCTAGACACATACTGATACACCCTCAAGATAAAGTCAAATATCTTCGTATGAAAGCCTTGGCCGAGGGGACAAGTGTACCTACTCCTAGTCAGGCTGACCCTAGTACGGGTCAAATCAATTTCAACCGGGAATTAATATTGTTACCGATGGTATTTTATATTATGATCCAAAAAAAGATCGGGAAGAATTGGCAAAAATGGTTACTGTTATGTGTTTACCCTATAGTTTTCCTTCCGACCCTCACTTTGTGCATTATATTAGAAATTTTTTTAATCCTACTTATAAAGGTTTTCCTCGCACAACCGTAAAGAGCGATATTTATAAATATAAACATGAATATGAACAATATTTGCACTATTTATTTATTCATATAAATTATCGTGTTGCTATTACAACTGATATTGATAGAAGTGGTAATGACTGTGATACCTTACTGTTACCAGTCATTGGATTGATAAGGATTAAATAATGCAAAAGCGCATTATTGCTTATAGAATAATTAATTCACGTCACACATGGCAGTTTATTGCTAGCACAATTACGGATATTTGTAGATATTTTTGCATTATTGATAAAATCATGTCAGTTTAAATGGATAATGCTACTAGTAACACAAATGTTGTAGCCTTGCTTACCACTACACTAGGTCCTGCATTTAGTAACATTTTTTATGTTAGATGTATTTGTCATATTTACCATTTAATTGTGGGTGATGGTATGAGAAAAAGAAATTGGAAAAATCAGGGAGAGCTTGGAAAAATCAGTACTTTTCAGAGATTGGATCCGTTCGGAAAGAAGAAATTTGGACTTGCTGTCACACCTCCTTTTTTCTTACTACACCCCCGGAAGAGTATAATAAAGAGAGTTTTTCCAATTAAAGGACAATCGAAACGGGATTCATTTTATTAAGAGATTCAGAGTCGCCACTTGGGAGATTTATGGTGTCCCAAGTCACCGGTTTGAATCCCGAATCGAGGAAAAGGTTTGACTCTGTTTAACAGTCGCGAACCAGAAATCCGGGTAAGGAATTCTGTTAACCCGGGAGAAGGTGTTAGGCATTCCCGAGTTCCGTGGTTCTAGCACGGTCGCTCAACTGCTATATTTGGCTTAAATCTGGTTTTAATACATGTCATCCTATGGTGCAATTTTTAGAATTATTTACCGCTTTTAATTAAATTTTTTAAGAAAGTGAACGTTGCTTAAAAACGTGTTTTTGGATCACGTCACATGAAATGCACCCGGATCCTCGACACATTTTTATTCAACGTTTTGGGATTTGGATTTGGGTCACATGAAATGCACACCCGAGTTTAGGAAGGCAAAATTATTAAAGAACGCGCCTAAAGCGACTAACGTGTTATTAACTTTGCGGGAGGCCATGAAAATTCGCTAAATGGCACGCCCCGAATTCTAAATATTTTTAAAGAAATAATTAAAGAGGGCCACGCAGTTTGTTAATTTTGTTTGGCGCGGCGCACCTCAATTTATTTTTAAAAGGATATCCTAAAGATGAACTAATATTATCTATTAAGGATTGTCTCTAAACAAACACTTAATTAATTAGCATTATCAATTGACTACTACTAAAGCCTTCAAGCAAGTTTGGGCCTCAAGTTCAAGTCCAAACTCAAACAAGGGGACCCCCGTTATTGAAAACCTCTTAATTCAAGTTTTTCACCTAACTTGAAAGGCCCAACGCCTGCATTTAAACCATTGGATCCAATAGTGAACTAGGCTAACAGCTCATTGAAGCCGGTCCAAGAGGAAGGAGGAATCATTCAACTTCGTTCACAAGAAGCTGCCTAACATTTGGGCCTCAGCACAAGCCCAAATGGGAAAGCAAGCTAGATGTAATGAATAAAACTCCTTCGGACTTGGGCTAGTGATGAGCCCAGTCCTTGATGAAACGAGCCAAGATAATTCAAAGTCAAGCATCCAAGCTTTGGGGCAGATCTTATGACTTGGGCCGGCTTTCAAGCCCACGTTTCTACGAAAATGATATGATGCAACCTGCTTGATGTTACTCAGCTAAATTAATGAGATACTTGACCAAACCAATATTCAATTCTTGAACCTTTAATAACTTGAAAGTAGAACAAGTAACATGCCTCTTGATTTGTCTAGCATATTTCTAAATGAACATACCATCTGACTCGCCAATCCAGGTTTAATTTCCTAATTAGCATGCTCTAGTAAAACTTAAACTCAACAAACATCGAATGAATCATGCTAAAACATCTCTAAAGACAGTCTCGAAACAGAACTTAAAAATACAAATTAATGACTTCATGAACTATTATTCAGGAATGCAACATCATTTGAAGCGAAACATTAAACATACTCAAATTCCATTTGACAATTTCTTATCTCCTGAATGCTCAAACAAAGTCCCACAGAAGAAGCTTTTAAAACAAGTTCCAAATCATATACTGGGGAGCAACATCATGACCTATATTCAGTGTCACATGTATCTAAATCTACACTGGGGAACCAAAACTAAACAGTGCCGCCCAATTAAAGTACCAATCTAAAGTCACATATTACAGGATCCAAAATGTTTTCGAAGCAGTTATACATTCCTGAATTTCATTCCACACTTGATAAAACGAAAAAAATGCAGATACAACTATATTGAAACACAACAGGGATTAGATTCAATTGCATAAATATCAGAAAAACAAAGAGAAACTAGGATTGATCATAGCTTCAACTTGCATTACAGGAGTTCATGATTGTACATCAGATGGTGACGAACCCAAAGCATACCTGGGTATAGAAAAATAAAGCAGGAGAAAAGAGAGAGTCAGCAGCAGTGGTGGAAATACGTAAACCAATAATGAGAATCAAAGGAGAGACCCAAGACAAATTTTCAAACCAAAATGCATAAAATTGCAATTGTTTCTGAGTTTAGCTTTATTTAGCTCCCAGAAATCTATGAAACAGTAGAGGTTTTTTTAGCTTGTGTATTTGGAATTTTCAGCTCTTCAATCCTTAGTTATCTCACTCTCAGATTTTCAGTATTGGAGGTATAGAGAATAATGCTCTTCTAACCTTTCTAAAATAGTAAACTTATGCAGCTCTTTTTCTGGATTTTTTTTAGCTCCTAAAACCCTTTTTTTTTCCTAAGGCAAGAAATGGTGCCTTTAATAGGCCCGCAACTAGGGCAACCCCTGCAGGTTTTATTTTGCCTTTTAGTCCCTTTTATTTTTACTTTTTAGACTATTTAGTCTCTTATTTATTGACTTGCT